TTGTCAACAGGAACTGTCCGCTTACATCAACATGAATATGTCTTTTGACTAGAACTAAAATGGAGAACTGAGCAGGTAAGCATACCAGGTGAGTGGGTAAGAAGGCCTAGGAAATACCACGTTTCCTTTTGTGTATCTTCTTTCAATAATTTCTGTAGTTGTGTTCTGTTTTTCAGATTGCTAATTCTAAGGTCACCATTAAAGTCACATTCAGTGGTGCTAATGAACTAAGTCTGACTTTTTAACAACCTCTTGTAGCCTAGCTATTCCGAGTTACTGAAATAATGGGAAAAAGGGAAGGGGAAAAAAAAGATTTTTCCAGGAGCAAAACACCACAATTTGTGAAAGATGTATCACTGTACTTGTATACCTGCCTGTAGTTGTAGAACAGCACCCTAGGGCTAAGGTAACTCGAGTTGTGCCACAACTGCTTTAATTTAAACCAAAACAAAAATAGCAAGAAGCATTTCTAACCCTCCCCACCTGAACTGGACACTCCCATCCTCCTCTCCGTCAGTTATTTGCAGCCACACAGAATGGGGATAAACCCACTTTTCTAAAGGGTTTATTTCAGTCAGATCAGAGCTGACCAGACCCGTCACGCAGCCCCACAGTAATTAGTGCCGGCACAAACGGCGGGTGGGAAGAGGCAGCTGAGACTGATGCCCCCATCAGCCTCCCATCAGCTCGAGCTGACTGAAACCAAGCCATTAAACACCTCAGCACCTCAGCACGGGCTGTTTAGCGCAGCCAAAGAATGAAACTGCCCACTTTAAAATGTGAAAACACTAGCAGCCAGTGACTCCAAACGTCACACAACCCCACTAGGTATTTTTTGAGTACAAACACAGTACCAGGCCTACCAGGCACTAAGAAATGCACAAAAAAAAAAAAAAAAAAAAGAGCATTTTTCTGGTCTGTGAAAGGTTGGAACTAAAAAAAACACATCCCAGGTGAATTCCTAAAATATTTTTTGTTTCTAGTTATTTTGCCACCTCCACCTGATTTAATTCAAACCAGAACATTTGTTACAACTGGTGAAAAATATGGAAGAATGCAGATGGTCCTGCAGAAGAAAATCTATCAGAACTTTTGGCCACAGAAACACTTCCCTCCTCAGCCCCTTCTTTAAAAAACCCCACAGGATTTCATGCTATGGAAGAAAGCATTCCGATTACAGATCTATTTGTAATAGGAGAAGACTGATAAATAATATATAGAACAATGCAAGCTTGCATATTGTCTGCAAATGCTCTAATGCACTTCATAGTTAATTGGTAATAAACCAAGACATACTGCACTAACCTTCACAGTATCTTAAAATTACATTTTTGTACCTAATACCACCTTTACTAAACCTTTTTAAATTTAAAAAAAAAAAAGATGATACTTCTGCTACACAGAATCCTTTTGTATAGTCTTGTGCAAGCACAGTTGCCATCATGCTGGCATTTTTCAATAGCAAATTTTTCACATTAGGCACAGTCATGGAGATAAGAGTATATTTTAGTCTTGCTTTTCCTTAAATTACCTAAATTTTTAATTCAGATTGGCCTGCAGAATTAACACATTCAAAGCAGTTACCTTTTCTTCCCCCCAAAAACACAGCTGTGCAATGAACATGAAGGTTTTAATTAAAATGTTTAGTCCAAGATTTTTCTTTTCTATTTCACACTCCTAAAAAAAAAAAATCTTCCAACCTCCATAGAACCTGTAGTTCCTTGTTTCTATCTATAGTTTGCTATCATCTTCCCACTCTCTGAATATTTTTTTTAATGAATAGTTGTCCTACTCCTCACAATCTTGCTCCTTCTGCTCCTATTTGTCACTGGTTGTCCTCCATCCTGCCACATGCACATTCCTCTGTGTCTCTTCTTATCTTTTGTTTTCCACCATCTATTTTCCTTTCCCATTGTGTTTCCACACTTCTCCTCCATCTTCTCTCCCTTCCTTCTCATCACTAGTAGCACAGGTTTACTCATTCTTCTGTCATTTAAAGTCCTTCTTCTGCATGTACCCTGTCTCCCAGATTTGGATGAAGAAGGTCTCTGCTCTCTCTCGTGCTTTTCCTCTCACATGCAGGACATATTTCTGAGGAAGACAGAAAAGATCTGATCCTCTCATGCACTTCTGCCCCTAAGCAGCTGGCAGCCACTGCTGCACAAGACATGGCTCCAGAGGAGCTGCTCTATCTCTGCGGTGAGAAGCCAGCTCATCGCAGGCCAACAGCCAGCTTCCAACTGTCCAAGTGTGAAGTTCCTATGATCACAGATCATCTGGGATGCCTTTCCTCTCAAAACCAGGTGACTTGGAGCCAAATTCTTTAATCTCAAAGGCACTAAAGGCTTGATAGCTCTGAGTAGCTTTTGGGGAAAGTCACTGTGACAATATTTCCACTTCAGCAGTACATGTCTTGATAAAAAGCCTTAGAAAGAAAAAAAAAAAAATCAAGTACTGACAATTAGACCTTTCTTATTCAACAGAAGTTGCCAACTGCTGAACGTGGTTAACTGCAAGCACAGACAATGATAATTTACACTCACTGTCATTCTGGAGGCTAACTTCATTTTCAAAATTGCAAGTATAGGCACGGATAAGCTATGATCAGCATGCTTCAATCATATCCAACACCAGCCAAGCCTTTGTCAGCAGTGGTAGCCTTCCAAGCAGAGAGAAGGCACTAATGGGGTCCACAACCATAGCCCAAAGGCTAGCTGAATACCTTGGCACCTCTTAAGCCTCTTCAAAGAGTCCTCTGAATATTAACCAATTAGACTTCTCTTATGTGAAAGAGAACCAAGGGCTCAATTTACCTGCCAACACAACATGCTCGGATTTCGGGTGGATGAACAGTTAGCTAAGTACCAAAATCATCGCATTTGATATCAAAAAAGACCTGGCCTGTTCCCAGCTGTAGGGGTAATTCAGACAGACTAAATGTCAGATTTAAACTTACTTTTAAGCAAGGCTGAACAGCATACGGTTTAGAAAATTTCTAGATAGCTGATGCCCACGATAATCTGGGAGAGCTTCCTGAGGGATATGCTATTGTATTAGTGGATTTGGTGAGTACTGGGATTAATCACTCCCTGTCAATATCACTACCTACAGGTATTTCTGTGGTCACCAGCACAGACTACAGCACTTGAAAAATATGCCTTAACCTAAACCTAAGGCAGTTCATCTGCAAACAAGACAATCCATGGATGTTAAATTATGAAGATTACTAAAGAGAAGTGTTAGACCAATATTTTGAAGTGAGAACAAGGTGCCTTAAGTGGAAGACATGTAAAAATCTAACTTCAAGTGCTAGAACACACAGCTTGTGAATAATTATGTTTCCTCGAGCACATATTAAGTCTTTCCACCATTAGATTATCCACACTAGAGTTTGAATTAACTGGGGAATCTCATCTGAACGCTCTCTAAAATGATTTACTGTGTGGCCTACACACACACACACACACACACAGAGCTTGAAAACCTCAGTCAGGTCTGCTTACAGACTAAAACAATTATCTAAATAAACTCTGTATAGTATTTTGTAGAGTATGTTTCAACTTCAACTCTCCCCATGGCATAGGAAGGGCCGCATAATATTTTAATTATTTTCTTCCACAAGACAGGAAGCTCATTGAGATTTTACAGCCAAATATGCCTAGTTGGCTTTTTGCTCAATACAGCCCTTAGCCTGCAGGTTGCATGTAATGCTAAAACAAATAAAGATCACAGAAGTTAGAAGTGCCTATTATGTCAATAAAATCTAAATCCCTAGTAATGCAGTAATTGTTCCATGCAGCATGTTTTCTAATGCTTTGTCTGGTCTTGTTTTAAACAATGGGGCTACCATCACTTTTCTCGGACTATTTATGGTCTGGAACAATCCAACAGTTTTTCCTGATCTTTAACCAAAGTTTCCACCTTTTATGCCAGTCCAAAACATAAAAGCCTGTCCAAAAAAAAAAAAAAGCCTCCTCTGTCAAGCTTAGCATCTGCCTTGTAAAGAATATCACATAGCCTTTACAGAAAGCTGAACACAAAGTTCACCAATCTACTCATTTTAGACTACAGTGAGTGACAACTCCCTTCTGTTTATCATTTGGGGACATGTCAGAGCCTATGCAGAAAAAATGGTTAGACAGGATACACCAGGATCAAGTAAGTCTTAACTTGGAAGAAATACAGTTCCTATCTGCAGAAAGGGAGTCTCCTTACTGAGCTTCGTTTGTGGCTATATGCTTATGTGGTAGGACTACTTTTTTTTTTATTCTTCCTTTAGCATAGGACCTCTGTGATCGTTAATATATTGCCTGATTTAATCTTGTAAATAAAGCGTCAAGTCCTAAACCTTGGCTTTGTCAAGGTAAAAAAATAAAAAAAAAAAAGGGGGTGAGGGGGAAGGGAAGGAAAAGGCTCCCTTGTGCGGAGGGTAATTCCAATAAAGAAAACCTTTTAATGTCATCTGAACAGGTGACTAGCCTAACAGCGTCATTACCACCGAGAACCCTGCAAATTAAGCAGGGAAGAGGCCTATTATCTAGGTCACCTAGCCCACCCCTACCCGAGCTGAATTATTCCCATCTGTTTACCAGAGGTTTATTCGGCTGCTTTAGCAGCAAGTTTGCACATGAGGAGAAGGCAGCAGCCCCCCAGGACCCCGCTCCCCACCGCCGATCCCCGTTACCGACATAACCAACCCGATCCCCGCCACCCGGAGACACTCGAATAGCGGAGAGTGAATTAAAGAGGGGACACTGGGGTTGAGGCGGGAGGGGGGGGAGGGATGCCCGCAAATGCCACGGAACAGGCGAACCGCGCTGCGGAAAGGGTTAAAAAATAATCGATTCCGAATAAATCGTTGATCTGGGCAGCGCACAGGCGGCGGGAGGTTCCTGACAGCGCCCCGCGGGGCGATGCCCCCCGGGCGGGCGGGCGCGGTGGCGGGGCCGGGCGGGTGCGGGGTGCGTGGCAGAGGGTCCCCCGCGGCCGCGGTATCACACGTTTCTCGGTGTCGCGCTCGTTCACCGTGGGCAATGGAGTCCGAGTGGACATTTTCCCTCACTCGGGCGGCCGCGGCGGCGGCGCGCACAGACACACACACGGGGCCCGGGCTGCGCGTCTGCTCCGAGATGGTGGTCGCAGGGAGCCACCATGAAGGACAAGGTGCCTGGCGGGGGGGCGGCGTCGCGTCGGTGCCCCCCCACTAGATCCTCCTCGGGGAGCGGAGCGGCCTCGCCCCCTCCGAGTCCTGCGGGCTCATCCTACAGCCGGGGTCCGCGGGGGTCAGCAGCGGGAAGGGGGGTGCCTCATCCAGCGGGGAGGAGATGCAGCCGGGGAAAGGGATGGAGCCGAGGGAAGGGAGGCGGGCGAGGGAGCGGCTGCCGAGGGGAGGGGGTGAGCCGCAGGGCGGCGGGGAAGGAGGCGGCAGCGGGGGCGCCGCAACCACGCGCCGGCTTCTCTTCCGCCGCCGGCCGCGGGGCAACGGCTAGCGCAGGCCCGCCGCCCGGGGGGCTGCCCTCTCCTTCCCCGCCGCGGCCACGCTTCACCGCGCGCGCCGCTCGCATTCGCCGCCCGCCCCAGCTCCAAGACAGGCCGGCGCCCTGCGGGCTGCGGACGCTGGGTGGGTGCCGGGTGGGTCGGTGCCCGCCCGCCGCTGCCTCCTTCCTGCCTGCCCCCCGCCCGCCCCGCCGCCGCTCCCGGACGAAGCCAGGATGGCCGCGCGGCTCCTCCGCGCCAGCCCAGCGCCGACATGAACCGGAAGGTCCGCCCCCCGCCCGGCGTGTGCGGGGGCCGCGGGGCCGGGGCCGGCCCTGCCCTCCCGGCGATCGGCCCCTGCCGCCTGTGCCGAGCCGGCCGCCCTCCGGGGAGCGGCCCCTGATCCCACTGGGGATCGGCCCCTGATCCCCCGTGCCGACCCCGCCGTCCTCCTGGGATCGGAGCAGCCCTCGCGGCTTAGAGCGCTCCTAGCCTTTGTGAGACCCCACCCGGACCGCTGCGTACGGTTCTGGTGTCCCCAACATAAGGAGGCCATGGAACTGTTGGAGCAAGTCCAGAGGGGGCCACGAAGTTGATAAGAGGACTGGAGCACGTCTCCACGAAGACAGGCTGAGGAAGCTGGGGCTGTTCAGCCTGGAGAAGAGAAAGTTGTGTGGGGACCCCGTAGCAACCTTCCAGTATCTGAAGGGAGCCCACAGGGAAGCTTGAGAGGGACTCTGTCAGGAACTGTAGTGATAGGACAAAGAATAATGGGTACAAATTGAAAGAGGGGAAACCTAGGTTAGGTAATAGAAGTTCTTTACCATGAGGGTGGCGAGACACTGAAACAGGTTGTCCAGGGAAGTTGCGAATGCCCCATCGCTGGAAGTGTTCAAGGCCAGGCTGGATAAGGCCTTGAGCAACCTGGTCTAGTGGAAGGTGTCCGTGCCCATGGCCGAGGGTTGGGACTAGATGAACTTTAATATCTGTTCCAACCCCTTAATATTCTATGATTCTATAAACAGGCCCTCAGGGAGCTGCAGAACCCCCATGTGAGAGGAGGCACAGTGTGAGGCAGGACAGAGAGCTCAGGTGTTGGGAAGCACAGTGGGGTGAAACTGCAGTGGCAGAAGAAATGGCAGCATCTCCCTCCCTGTGGAAGTCCAGTCAGGGAAAGGGGCAGATCCCACTGCCCGCTCATGGCCAGGGACAGGGACAATGACATGGGTACTCCAGAAATGTGTCTGCTGTACAGCTGTGTGCAGGGTTCAGTCCTCAGGTCATCTGCCAAAGGGTGTCCTCCCTTTTCTTGGGTTTCCCAGCCCGTAGGATGGTGTGTGGTACAGAAGGGAGCCCACACCTGGCAGGGGTCTGAGGCTGGTGTTGGCAGATCTCACTTGGTGCAATCAGGTACCTATGCAGTGTTCCAGCACTGTGTTTTCGTACCAGTGTGATGCTTGTCTTGCTTGGTAGAGGACCCTAGGCTGTCAAAACATCCTTTGTATATCCAGTAGTTACTTTGCACAATCATTTTTAAGTGTACAAGGAAGATCTTGTTATAGTCATGAGTAGATCTAATTATGAATGAAAAATAAGAAAGAGAAATAACTTCTGTATATTCAGTGTGTAGGTGGTTTAAAAGCAAATCTATTTCTGATTTTTTTTCAGAGAAAATATGAACCTCTGTAGAAAAAAAATGCTGGATCTGGTGGGATTTGTAGAAACTTAGCATCTCTGTGGATCTGGCAGCCTAGCAGTAACATTTTGTCTTTCTAAAGCGTAGTTTATCTGATAAACTTTATGGCTCTCATAAATATTTACTAGCCTAGCCCTGAAATCCATCCTATGATGTAGGTAATATTTTCCTTGCTTTTAGAGACACAAGCCTGGAAAGATAGCCTTTGAACACTACCCAAGAAATAAGTTGCACGTCTGTTACTTCATTGTCAGGACTACAAAATTCTCCATAACACCTGACCTGCAGGTCTTCCTTCCTTGCTCTCACGTTGAGCTAATGCCTTGGTCTGTGTTAATGACTGGAATTTTGGATTTGAGGACTCACCTCTTGTGCAAATGATCAGTATTTCTGTGTGTACATGTACATCCATGTGCCTGTTTGCTCAGATGATACATACTTGTAGTAGAGTTGCTCTCCCTGGGAAGCAGGCAAGACCCAGTGGGGAGTGGGATTTGTCCATATCTAGATCTCCTGATTCTGCCTTTGCCGTGTTGCCGTGGGGCTGCTGCTTCATCGTTTTCTGTTGCCAGTAGAATGTGTTCTTTACAACGTGTTTGTAAAACATTGTAACTGACATACAGCGGAGTCAGAAAAACGGCAAAAAATAGGTAGATGTTTACTTGGGTTGTTACCCAGCGCTTTCACCCTGCACTCGTGGGCACTCCAGCCAGCACGAGAAGGCTGAACTGCCTGTGTTGGGGCCAGGGAGTGATTCACAGCATGTGAGCTCTGTAATGTTGTTTGCACCTATGAGTGTGCCTGTCCTGAGCCTTGGCAAAACAGATCTGTGGAAGTTCTGTGCACAGGCATGAAGAGGTGTTAAACTTAGCTGAGCATTGTGTTTTACGTACTTGCATTGCTGCCCCATGGAAGCAGTAGTCACTCCAGTGAAACCTGAAATGTATAGTGGTGGATAGTCAGGTGAAAATGCTGGGCCTGTTGGTACAGCAGGAGTTCTGCTATCACCCTTGATAAAGCCAGCATTTAATACTTGCAGTCCAAATTAAAAGGGGCTGGGGAAAGGGTGCAAGAGGAAGGGGAGTTGTAGGGAAGGACTGTGTGTCTTTCAGAGTCATGTTTCTGATTGGCAAAGTCATTTTGAAATAAGAACTTTTGAATAAATGCTTGAGACCACAGAAACAACAGTAGCTGATTTTGCTATTTTATTGCCATTAACTGGAAACATTGATTAAGGCTGTTTTTTCTGGGGTTTTTTCTGTTGCAAAACTTGCACAGGGAATGACAAACAGCATAGCAGGTGCTTTCTTCTATATTTCTTTGTTGTTATATTCTGTTTCTCCCATTTAAACAGATGAGTTAATTTCAAAGTGTATTCATTGGGCCATAATAAAAAAGCTGATTGCATGGGTTTCCTATTTCTTTGTTGCCCATAAATATTCTGCATATTATCAGATACTACTTAAGCAGCGTTCACAAATCAGAAGGTGATTTTCTTTTTCCCTATCTAAATGTTCTGAAAACTCAGAAAGCAGTCTGATAATCATATTATGCTTTCTGGTTCTTGTGATAGTGACAGTGATTTCATAAGGGGGACTTAAATGACAATGTTTGTATGTTATCTGGAGTAGGCTGCAATTTGCGCTTTGAGCTTTTCTGGCTACAGTGCTAACAGTAGAAAAAACTTGTTTTTGCCAGTAAAGTTGGAGAGTATGACTCAAAGACATACAGGAAGCAGATCTGCTGGTTAAGGTGCCTTTTTTGTGTCACTCTTTTGGCTGTCACCACACACAGAAAACAATATGATACAGAACGACATCATCATGGTGAAGAGTTTAGAATTTTTTTTCTTCCAGACATTAAAACCCCCACAAAGAACCTCTTAACACTGCACTACACAGACAGAGTAGACCCTAACTTTAACAGCATTTGTGATCAGAGCAAAACACGTTGGAATTGATTATAATTGCTGGACAAAACTTGAGGATTAATTTTAATGTATTCATATGCACGGGTTTTGAGTCTTAATTCTGGAAGAAGGATTACAAATGCAGAACTGACTGAGGAATTTGTATTCCTCTCATCTCACCTTAAAGGCTGGGGACTGAAAGAAATGAGTTGGTAGAGGCAAGTAGAGAATCAGCTAATGTAATTGTTATAGCTGCCCTGTTGTACACTGCAGCTATGACAGTAATTACCATCTAAGACTCTGCCCAGATATTAAACCATTTTAGTTTACACAAAAATTCCAGTTTAGACTGATAATTGTTAGCCCTGATGGAATTTTTGCTTTTTTTCCTTAAGCAAAAGACATCCTAAAATATGTTACATCCACAGGGAAGTAACCAGTATTATTCATTCTTCTTCCAATGCCTTGTTTTTTTTCTTATTCTAAGGTAATCCCATGCAGTGAAAGATTTCCAGGACTGTTTCATCATCAGTGTTGTCTTTAAAACTGAAGTAATTCCCTGTGTTTGAAATAATTACTTGTATTTGGTTTAAAAATCTTAGCTTCCAGAGAATACCTAATCTTAGCAGTGTTTTATGGTAGGAAGAAGTGTGTGATTTTTAAAATGTCAGTGACAAAGCTATTGATAGAAAAGGAATGATTACTGTCTGCAACCTGAATCAATAGTCCATGCTCAATTATAATGAGCCCCAAGTGCAACTTGCTGCAAGGCCAGGGCGAAATGCAGTGTTGGTGGCAGAGAAAACAATGGAAAGAAAAAAAGATCTTCCTCCTCAGCTTCATGTCCAGATCTGAAAGGTGGAAGAAGATTCTGGATATGTTGACTTCTTCCTATGATCCACACAGGAGAAGGGCAAGTCCCCGGGGGCAGCAGAGTGGCCGTGGCAGTGCAGCTGTTCTGCAGTGCTCAGGTGTGGGAGAGGTTCAGGCTCTGGGCTGGGGCGTGAGCAAACAGGAGGGAGCAGTGGTGGTTCCTGAGCTGCACGCCTCATTTAATTCCTTGCCTGTAAGGCCAAAGCACGCTGTGCTTTGCCTGCAGAGCCATATGGTGTGGTGCATGACACGTGAACCTTCATGATGGGATCGCTATCAAGTGCCTGAACTGCACTAATTCCACCACCATTTGACGCAAATGCCTATATGGATCATAGCTCCGGGACAGAATCACAGCGCTCCGGAGAGCCGGGTGAGACCATTGCTCTCATGGGTTGGCACAAGGTCACTGTTTAGAGAGGTG